TACTATATGTGTGTGTACTGTGTATATTTATTATGTATATATAAATACACAAAGACACACGTATATATTAAGGTAAAATATGTTAGATTTATATATAAAATATTTATATTTATATATAATATAAATTATAAACGTGTTTACATACAAATATTTTTTTAAATATATAAATGTATGTGCATTTATATATACACATACTAAATATACACAGTACACACACAAATATAATATGTAAACAAACTTTTATTTTGAATCGATTAATCACAATTAATCGTTTTGCAGCCCTACTTTACATACTGAAAACCTCAAGCACTCGCTGTTCTGCTGCTGGTAACGTGCTGCTTTGTTTCTTAGTTTATTGCTGGTTTACTGCTTAACTGGCTTTTTGGAAGCTTATGTAACTGAAAAAACGTGGACTACCGTTTGAGTGAGTTTGATCCGTATTTCCTCATTTCCCATCGTCTCTTCACTGTCCCTTTCAAGAAAAATAAATTAATAAATAATGCTACGGTGGTGTTTCAGTGGCAGTCTCAGTCTTTTCATGGGACGCGTCATTAGCAGCAGCCTCAGCCTGACTAACGGGTGAGTATTTTATAGGATTCTCCTGTAAGAAAACATAGAAGGTAAAAGAAATGAACAGGATTGATGATTTAGTTACACACACACACAGACACACAAAACAAACTTAAAGATTAGAACTGTGTTTTTGAGGAATTTAGGTTTATATTACCTGAACTTGATTTCGCTCCGCCCCCCTGCCTGTTTGAACAATAATGACAAACTCAGTTACATACAAAGACGACTTTGGCAAATTAGAATGAAAATACATATTTTCACATCTTGCACACACAATGACTCTATTATTTTCATCTTGTTCAATCAGCTGTATGTAATACTCACCTTTCTTTTGCTCAAGATAGTAAATTACACCAGCAGCTACGAGCAGAATAACTACAGCAGCACATATTCCTGTTACAGCAGCTAGAGATGGACCTGAACCTGTAACGATAAAGAGAGACAGTCATATCAATTTAATCTGATGTTTCTGACTGATATTTACACCTTTCTGCTTTGTTCATCAGTTGTGTGGTATGGATTTAACTGACAAATGGTGGTTTTTGAGTTACAGGAACTAAAACGACATCAACGCAATCAACAGGAAATATCAATGCTTACAGGAAACTTTTTTGCATTGTGCATTTTGTTAACAGTCCTCAATGAAAGGCACTTTATTTAATTTGCACTGAATGACACTCACCAGTGACAGTAACACTGAAACTCCTACTCCTTCTAATACTGAAGCTGCTGCTGCTGCTGATGATCTGTACTTTATAAAGTCCAGAGTCTGTGGTTCTGGTGTTCATGATGGTCAGAGATCCAGTCTGATTAACCTCCAGTCTGTCTCTGAATCTCCCATCAGCATCTTTACACTGAACATCTATGCTGGGATCTCCATTGATTTCAGCGATGCGGATGTCATTAAAAAGCCACGTGATCAAATCATTTGGGTTGTTTATTACACCAGGACCTAAAGTGACAGATTCTCCCTCCTTTACTGACTTAATTTCATCTCGATCAGCGGCAGGAGCATCTGAAACACAAACCAACAGCTGCTGGAGGATCTTTTTGCTGAAAACAACAAACTACACAACAAGAAAGAGTGCGGATATGAAAATAATTACACACTGAAGAACACTTTACATGATGAACAGATTTCATTTGGGCTTTCCATTACATATAAACATTGATTAACACACAAACGCACACAACATATGGTAAGTAGAAGCTTAAACCGATTTGGAAAGACATGAGGGCGAGTTATTGATTATAACGAGTGTTCTTTGCTCATTTTCTGTATTTATACCATCGTCTGTCTGAATACTTGATTCTGATTGGCTGGAAGGCTGCACACATACAGAAACACTCATGACAAAATAAACCTGCCGTCAATGCTACACCGTGACTTTCATGAATAAAATAAATTCGCTACATTACATGTCTCCACTATTAGTAGAGAGACCCTGCACAGACGCAGGTAATTCACAACCCACAATCTCTCGCTCACATATAATTAATTCAAATAAATGCTACAATCAATTCAAATAAATGTAATCTTACAGCACTACTTTATCTCAGGCCCTGTACACATGAACGTGGTTATTTTTAAAACTGCAGCTTTTTCTACGTGGTTTGGCCATTCGTCCACACACAAACGCAGCACCAGGACCAAAGACTTAAACTACTTCAGTCTGTGTGCATTGAATTTATTTAATACACGAGTTTAACAATTTGAGTTGAATTACTGAAATAAAGGAACTTTTCCATGACATTCTAATTTATTGAGATGCACCTGTATATAAAAGCTTGATCAGTCACATAAAAGTAATCAGCAGCTACTTATTCCTTTAAATAACGCAACGCTCTGCCCTTTTATGTGTATGGCGCTGCTCCAATTAAGCGCTGTTGGAAGTGAATGAATTGATTCAGCATTTCGACATTTCAGTAAGGATGCATTAAATTCGACAAAGCGATTTAATAAAGGATGCACTGATCTTGTGAATTAGCGAATTTTACAATACCAATATTTTTCAATTGGTTGTTAAAGTTTTATATGGGAATATTACATGACACACTGATCCTTTAACAATGCATTGGCACAAAAACACACACCTTTTGGACCAATTTCGCAACATGATTTCTCGACTGCCACAAATACTACCTAAACAAAATACTGATTTTGTGCCCTTTTTAATGTACCATTATTTTAAATTGGCCTTTGAAATTGGCTTTATTGCATGGCAAAAAAAAAAAAAAAAGCGTTACCTTGCCAAAGCACTGACAGAGCCCATTGATCTAATTGTGATGTTGAGCGCTCCAAATGCAAACTTTGCATGGCATGCAACAATCAGGCATTCAATGGCATACAGGCATCGTCAGGTTGACATTACTCTAGCCCAATTATGTTAAAGGGGTCATATGATGCGATTTCAATTTTTACAAGCTCTTGG